GTGGCTGGCTTATGACATTTAGCATAAGGTCCTCAAGATTCAGCCACGTTGTAGCATGTGTCAGAATTCCCTTCCTTTTAGAATACTGAATACTATTCCATTATATATAATATATATTTTTTTTTGGTTTTTTAATCTGTTCATCTGTTAATGGACATGGGTTGTTTCCACCTTTTAGCTATTGTAAATAGTACTTCTATGAAAATGGCTATATAAATATCTCTTTGAGACCCTGCTTTAATTCTTTCCAGTCTATACACACAAATGGAATTTCTGGGTCATATGATATCTAGATCCTTCATTTACTCTCCCTCTACTTTTCTTTTTAAAATTTTAATTTTTATTATTTTTGGTTATCGTACATTATCACAAGATTTCATTGCGATAATCCATACATGGGTACAGCATATCTTGAACAAGTTCACCCCCCTCATCATATTCACCTCCCCTCTGCTGTTCCCCCCTCTTCCAAACAGCATTTGGTGGGTTTCATTCTTCTGTCTTCAGTACAGATGCATCATCCTTTCATCCTCTTCACCCCTCAGCATCCTTTCCTTTTGCCTTCTCCCACGCATATATTTATGTCCCATTATCACCATCATTTTAACAAGAACATGTGTTATTTGGCCTTTTGAGCTTGGCTTATTTCACTCAGCATGATCTCCAGTTCAATTCATTTTCCTGCAAATGACATAATTTCATTTTTCTTCATGGCTAAGATTCTGTGCTGTGTGTCTGTGTGTTCATGTGTGTATAGTTTTCTTTATCCAGTCATTGGCTGTTCAGCACCTCAGTGATTCCACAATTTGACTATTGTGAAAAGATCTGCAATAAACATTGGTATTCAGATAACTCTCTTGGATATTGCTCTGTGCTCCTTCGTATATATCAAGAGTGGTATGGTGGGGTCGTTAGGTATTTTTGAGGAACCACCATACTGATTTCCATAGTGATTGCACTAGTTTACACTCCCACCAACACTGGGGGTTCCTTTTCCCTCACATCCTCACCAGCATTTGCTGTTTTCTTGATGGTGGCCAGTCTGGGTGAAATGGAATCTCAGTGTAGTTTTGATTTGCATCTCCTTCATGGCTAAGAATGTTGAACATGTATTTATTGGCCATTTCGATTTCTTCTGAGAATTATCTATTCGACTTATTTGTCCATTAATTAATTGGATTATTCTTTTGATGTTTAGTTTTGTGGGCTTTTTAATATTCTGAGTATTATTAATCCCTTATCTGTTGAATAGTTGGTGAAGATTTTCTCCCATTCTGTGAGTTGTCTCTTGATTCTGATTAACTATTTCTTTTGATGTGCAGAAACTTTTAAATTTGATGTGATCCCATTTACCAATGATTGCTCTTATTTCCTGGGCATTTGGAGTCCTACTCAGACGATAATTACTTTTGCCTATATCTTCCAGAGATTTCCCTATAGTAGTTTCAAAGTTCAAGGTCTTAGGTTAAGATCTTTGACCCATGTAGAGCTGATTTTTGTACAGGGCGAGATCTAGGGGGTCTTCTTTTAGTCTTTAGCATGTAGATAACAGTTTTCCCAGCACCCCCCTCTGTTTTTCTTAAGCCCTGACTCTCCTGTGAGCTATTTTGTTTTTACTTTATTTTTTTGTGGTACTGACGGTATTCACCACACTCAGGGCCACATGCATGAAAGTCACAGGCTCTACCCTGAGCTATAGCTCCAGCCCCATTTTGTTTTTATTATTTGTGTTTATAGACAAATCAAATGATGTAACACTATATAATAATTTATATTGCAAAGGCAGTTACTACATTTCATTTCTCACGTGGTCATTTACTAGTCTTCTCTTCTTTGTACCTATATCTCCAGATCATGGCTGTCACCCTAGCTCTGAGTTAGCGTATTTCATAGATTACCTTGTACAGGAGATGCATTCTGAAATGCAGTGCACCCTTCTCCTAGCTGCATTGCTCTTTTACAGCATGCCTTGGTCAATTTGGACTGCTACAATAAAGTGCCATAGACTGGATGGTTTAACAAACACATATTTCTTCTCACAGCCTGGAATCATGGAACTCTAAAAGCAAGATGCTGGAGGATTCTTGTGTCCGGCAAGGTCCCTATCCTGGGTTGCAGATGCTGACTCCTCACCTTTAGGAGAGGGCGGACTCTGATCTCTTCCTGTTCTTCTGAGGGGACTAAACCTATTGCAGGAGCTCCACCCTCACAACCTCATCTAGGTCTACTTACCTCTCAAATGCCCCACCTCTAAACACCATGACATTGGGGATTGGGGCTTCAACGTAAGAATCTGGGGTACACAGCATTCATCCCATAACACCATACTTCAAGAAAGAATAGTATATCTCTGGAGGAGTGGGGCCAGAGAAAGAAGAGGTAGAAGAACTAAGAGGAGAGAATCCAAGGAAATTATAGAGAAGTACAAAGGAGGGGAAAGAAAAAGAGAGTGAGGTGAGGGAAAGAGGAAGGGAGGGAGAGAGAGTGAGAGAGAGAGAAAAGGAAGTTAGAGAAGCTCCAAAAGTAGGCTTTACTTCTTCCCTCCACCTATGAACTAAATGCAGCCCTGTTCCCTCTGGGTCTGGGGATAGAATCAATTGCCAGAATCCTCCAGCAGCTGTGACAAGTGGTAACTGAAGCAGAAGTCACTTACAGAGGGATGAACTTAGCATTCTGCAGCAAGTGTTTGTTGAGTGCATCCTAAGCTCAGTAGCCTTCCACCAAGGACAGAAAAGATCAAACTTCCATTGCTGTTATTTCATTCGCCATTGTGTGGACAGGAAAGGTAGTTCCCCAAGTCTCTTCTCTGCTCCAGATCAAGGCTGGAGGCCTTGGAGTAGGTTTGAAGGCCTGTCTCCTTTATGCTCATAGTCTTGGAGGCAGGGTCCTGCTGTGCCAGCTGTCAAATTTGACCTGCTTTTACCTCGCCTGGCAAGTACTAATGCCTTCTTTCACAGATACGGAGAAGTAAAGACACCTGGTATACTTGAAATAGAATCCCCTAGAAAGGTGTGGCCGGGCTCTTCTGACTTCTATTTTTAGCAGACCATAGGGCTTGCATGTTATTTGTCCAAGTCTGGAAGCAGACCTGGAAACCCAAAGGTATAGCCATTTTAAGCATACCTATTCCACATGGTACTCCAGGATGAAGCTGAAGATATTTTCACAGTAGCTTAGTTACATAGAAATTGTAGCATGTAAGCTATTTTTTTTGTACAGGAGTCAAGAAACTGAAGTAAAAAAAATACAAGCAGGCTGGATCGATCTTAATAGACCACCAATGGTATATAATTTGTGGCATAGTATATTGCTTACATCCCTGAACTGAAATTGCTATTCTGCTATTCTTCCATGACTTAAAAACAAAACAAAAAACCCCACCTAAGACAGTTTTTCTCACATATGTGATTTCCATATAAGGATTTCAGTCTGACCAAGGAATCAAACAGGAGCAAGTGGCACACACGAGGAGTGGTTTGCCTGCCAAAACATGCTTACCCTCAGTCAGTGGTTTTTGACTGGGAGGGGGTTGTCCCGTGGACATTGGGCAATGGACACATTTTTTATTCGCTCTTGAGGAGGAGCTGCTACTGGTATCAGTGAGTTGGACAGGGCTAGGGACACCTAGAATGGCCCTCACAGTAAAGAATGGTCTGGTCCACAATGCCAGTACTAAGGTTACAAAGCTGTGTTGCAGTTACTCAGTGCAGATTTGACTTGCACTGAGATAACTGGTCATCTAAATTTGGGAAAACCCAAGCTGATGCCCAACAATAGTGGCTGCTGGCTCTGTGTTTTTCAGGCCTTTTCCCCCTTTAGAATTTAATTTTGAAATCATTTCATCTCTTCCTTAACACTTGGTGCATGGGAGGCTTTGCTAAATGTGGAATGAAGTAAAGAGAATGAAAACAAAGGACATTTTAGGACCACCTCCTTTTAGGTCTCCCCTGTGTACACCAAGAAGCAGGAGGGCTGAGTACAGAGGGGAAGGCTTGGAGTGAACTGCTTGGCTCTGCGGGCTGTCTTGTCTGTGTCTGTGTTCTGTGGGGCTTACACTGCTGAGGAGCACCAGTGGTTTTGGGGTCAGGAAGAACACCTCCTCCTTTGGCCACTCATGCACTTTGGGTCTTTGCAGAGATCATTGTACCTTCAACCTTCCCCATTGTGGAGAGTGGCCAGGACAATCCAATAGACCACTGTGTATTAAATAAATATGTGCATGTGGTCTGATTAAAACACAGACACCTAGGTACTGGGGGTGTATCTCAGTGCAGAACGCTTGCTCAGCATGTGTGAATCTCCGGGTTCCATTTCCAGTACCACAAACCAAATGAAAACAGAACCTAGGAAGTAAACCTTCTCTATAACTCTGATGAGAAATTGATATATATTCTTCCAGTGTTTAAATATATGTATTAACAAGTAGATTAAAATGGAATTATAATTTTATAGTACATTATACTATTTTACAACTTGTGTTTTTACCATACTTCATGTGGACACTGTTCCAATATGATGGGCAAACCATTTACAGTTGTTTGTGAGATAAAGACTGTAGGAAGGATCTGCTCACCTCCTTAAGAGCCACTAGGATGACTCATAGATTTCAGAAAGTAGGAAGAGATCCTTAGATGAGAATTATTATACACCAAGCTCTATTTATTTATTTATTTTTTAATTTTTTTTATTCATATGTGCATACAATGTTTGGGTCATTTCTCCTCTCTTCCCCCCCGCCCCCCTCCCTTACCCCTCACCCCCCTCCTTTACCCCCCACCCCCCTCCCTTACCCCCCCACCCCCCTCCCTTACCGCCCCCTTGCAGGCTCTATTTTTAATTGACTGTAATAATGCTGAATGATTGTATGTATTACGAATTTCTTTCTAGATGTTACTGAAATATTTTAGAAAACATGGATCCTTAGAACAAAACCGTTATAGCTATGGTAATGTACTTTGTGTAATACTCTGAGAGTTCAACTGTCTCTTTTGTGTCCACAGGCAAATATGTGTATCAGCCCATGACCCCCGTGGAACAGCTTCCAAGCACTGAGATCCCAGCGAGGCCTCGAGAACCCACAAACACCATTCAAATCTCAGTCTCGCTCACTGAACACTTTTTGAAATTTGCGTCTGTCTTCCAGCCTCCCCTTCCCCCTGACTCACCAAGGTACTGTATGATTTCAGACCTCTTCATTGACAACTATCAGGTCAAGTGTATTAATGGGAAGATGTGCTATGTGCAGAAGCAGCCAGCACCACATTCCCACAAGATGAGCCCCGAGGAGGTCTCTGCACATGATGCCTTAATTTCAAAAGAGGGCAATACACCAAAAATAGATCACTGCTCTTCTCCCTCAAGCTCTGAGGACTCTGGGATCAATGCAGTCGGGGCTCACTATGTGGAATCATGTGATGAGGACACAGAAGAAGGAGCAGAATTGAGTTCAGAGGAAGACTACAGTCCAGAGAGCAGCTGGGAACCTGATGAGTGCACCCTTCTTTCCCCATCACAGTCTGATCTGGAAGTGATTGAAACAATAGAAACCACCGTGTGAGAATCTGGGCGGGAGCCCAGGCCTCTCATCCATGCTGAGTTTTTGTACTGTTGCTGATGAATCCTTTTCCAATGCAGTTGGTATTTTCTACCCACCTCTACCAACCATAGCAATTCCGTGGTCTGCTGATTAGTGTCACTCTTAAATTAGTCTTATAACTAAGACATTCTTTTTATTACAAATGGTTTTCTTTTGTATCTTGACTTACTTTCTATGTAGCATCTGGTGTCATGAATTGTGACCCAGCCTTAATTTCACTGGGAACTTTGAAAGCAGTGAAGTGATGATCACAGAAGGCTCGTGGGTCAGCTGAAGGAGCTACCCAGAGTAAAGGCAACTGTATTTCCCAAATAGCCAGTCCTTTGCGGAAAGACTCTTGGCATCCTTTTGGCTTGCTCACAGCACCCTGTGCCTGCTAGTTCCACTGGGCAGCAGCTCACTGGGGATGTGTGCGCTGGTAGACACTGTTCCTTCCTTTCCCTTCTCCTCACTACCTGCACTAGGTCTGCACCACAGCTCGTCACTGCATTTCTGGAGGTCACTGGAGGCCAGGTTGCCCCTGGTGATGACCCTACCCACACATCCCTCTGTGACTGGGGCTGAGCTAGACCTTCACATACGAAGAGCTGGAGTGCTTCAGTTTCATGCTCAGTTCATCTTTAGCATCTTTAGGACCGACATGCTGCAGGGAGTAGTGCAGATTCAGAATGAGTAAGACCCAATTCCCACCATGAAGGGGCCCACATTTCAATAGGAGAGGACACGTGCGACTCATGCAGCCCACAGGATGGCGCTGTGCACTTGGCCGGGGAAAGGTGCTGCATGCGGCTTTGGAGGTGGCTGGGTAGGCTCCCCAGCATTTCCTAATTGTTCTTCAAAGCTGGAGGAACATTTAGGAAGTTATTGTAGGCATTATAGTTAGAAGGCAGCCACATTTGACATCTTAAGGAAAAAATAAACAATAGTTTTAGTTAGCATGGAAATGCTAAAAAGATAAAAGTCCTTTAGGGATTAGGAACGAATCTAATAGGTTTGACTAATTCTGCTTCATTTGGGTATATGAAGCATTAGAATTGGCTTAGGTGAGAAGTGGATTAGAATTCAGTATGCTGCATGGTTTTTTTTAATGCAAATGCGGAACAGTTGAAATAGTTCACTTCTAAGTCAGGAGAAAATATTTTGCATAATTACTCACTTTCCCACACTAATATCCAGTCCACTGTGTATGTTCTATTCTTTCACACACATAAAGTAGTGAAGAAGTCTTTCTTATTTAGCTCTCTTCAGAATTCTATTCCTAATCTGCATTTATTCCAGGTATTCTTTCCCATGTGAGTTAGTTACCCGCCATTTCTCTAAATCTTCTATCTGTGAGGCATGGTTAAGAGTCCAGGAACCTTAAAATGTGACCTAATGAAATGAAAACCATTCAAGTTGGAGAGAAATATTTCATATAGCCTCACTGTCCGTGAGGGTGCTCGAGCTTTGTCAGTGTCTGGCATATCTCTTCCCTGTCATGTTAGTTCGTATTTTAGGGAAAAAAGAGGCCTGTTGTGATGGTCTCTGAGGCCTCTCCTCCATGTCCTTCACAAAGTACTCAAGGAGGAATCTGCTTTCCTAGTTGTATGTGTAGTTCAAGCGATTTACTAGTTCTTTCATTAGGGTTAGGTACCCAAAACATCCATAGGGTTTAAAAGGCAGAGTGTGCATTTCCCTTTGAAAACAGCATCAGTTAAAACTTTTAGTGCTAGAGGAAAATGCAGCATAAAATTCTCATTTACTGAAACGTCTTTACAAGTGATAGGAGGAGCTCCAGGAGCAGACACAGGCAAGGGAGGGGAAAGGCAGGTGTATCTGGGCCTGAGGGGCTTCCCCCCCCCCCACCAGATGTGACCTGGGTGCCCCAGGGACATCAGATGAGCCCTGCCTGAGGTTTGTAGTGCCTCCCTTGAAAGGTGGCTCACTGATGGCAGGCACGGAAGCCAAATGCCTCCGGGCTGCGCGTGCTTTGTTCTGTCCTCAGGGAAGGAAGGGCAGCATGGGGCTTGTCTTTGCGTGTGCCTGGGGGTGAGTTCATTGAATTGTGGGGCTGGGGTTTCAAGGATGACTTCTGTACACCTTTCCCAGCGACTGTTATAGGCCCCACTGTCACATACATTAACTGGAATCTGCAACCAGCCTCCAAAGTCATGGTCATGAGGACACATTTCTGAAGTGTGGCTATGTGTCAAGTTTGGGTCCCTTAATGGTAACATCTGCAACTCTTGTCCAGGTTCCTGTTTTATAAACTCCTGAACTGCCATTCAGATTAGCCACGGTTTTAATGGACTTTTTAAAAAACGGTTGATAATCACTTTAAATATTTGCACAATTTCTTTATAATTAAACTCACTGAGCTTCACTTACTGTTTTATAGAATTGGGAATGTTCCATTGGATTCTAAATACCAGACACTCCTGGATCTCAGAACAGCCTTTTCTAAATAAGCACAAGCAAGAGGTTTTCTTTTCTTTTTTTTTTTAAGTAATTCTCTGAAATATTGAACCAGAATTTTCTCTAGGAAAATTCTTAGAAAACTGAGAATATAAAAATGTGTAGTTTCAACTTAAATGCTAGGCCTCTTCTGTTCTATGTTATATGAAAGAATTTCTCTGTGATCCTGATACTACATTGCTAATTTGTATAACAGTATTTATAGGCACTTTAGAAAATACTTAGATCGCAACCTGTACTGTAGACGTGAAGCACAGTCGTGTGAAATAGGCTTTTGACTCACGCTGTACAGTGAAAGAGCTCGGAAAGCTTTACAACTCGGACCTCATGGACGGCCCATGGGGAGCAAGGATTGGCTGTGTGGATGGATAAACTGCTCTCTTGGGCTTTTGTGGAAACCTGGCACCGTTCCCATTTTTTGAAAGTTGGTATGAAGGCTGTTTGTTAGAAGTGTAATTCCACTAAAGGTAGTTTTCTTACCTTTCTCATCTTTTGAGTTTCAAATCTGTCCATAACTTTTCTGAGAAGTGACAAAGGAATTAATATGCTTTTGTGTTTATAACTGTTTGGTATATTAAAAAATAAGGCTTTACTATCAAATCTGTTTATTTTTTACCTTGTAATTTTAAATGTATAAAATAAGAATTTGAGGACAACCCTGAAGAAAAACAGTTGCTTCCTGGAAGGGAAGATTTGCAATTTCAAAGTAGTAGAATACAAAATAGAACAAAAACAAACACCAAAGCCAGAACAAAACCTCCTAGCTATTTCCTAATACACTTTCTGGATTTGGTCTAGAATTCAATTGTATATTGGAAGTGGTGGTTTTATTTCTTCCACTTCCTGGCCTATTTGAAGCATCACAGTTCCTTGGGGACTTATCAGAACAAATTTCTCTTATGCAAATTTAGTTCTCTATTTGGGGATTAGGACACTTTAGACAACTGTCAAAATATCCAGGTAAGCTTGGCAGTAGAGAGACTACCAAGCAAGAAAAAAGCACATGTTAAACAAAACACCTTTTCTGCAGTCAGCCCTGGATGATTTCCCACTTCCCATTTGCAAACTTTCATTTTCGTGGGTTGGCTTTTCACATGAGGAAAACATTTCAGCCATTTTATTTCCTATTACCTGGTCCAGAGGAGCCAGAAGGAAGATGGCTGGGTATGTTTGGGGTTTTGGGGGAGTGAGGAGATGTGAATGGGAGCCCTAAGTCACCAAATGCCAGTGCCATTTGGTCCAGGGATGTCAGTTTTTCTCAAATCCAACCATAAGTACAAGGGCACTTCTCAAAACCAATTCACCATTTTCAAATTGTCACTGATCCTTCCTATGGTAACTGAGCGTTGGATGTTCGGGAAAGGGCTCATTTCAGTTTGTGCCAGAGCCCCATCTTCTGGGAACAAAGAAAGCTCTTTCTTATGGGCTGGGCATGGGTGTTTTGGCAGAAAGCCTGTCACTGGCAAGTTTTAACACAAAGCTTCCGGGTTATTGTGTTCACAAACACTATTAAGCCTCTTCATACCTTGTAATATTCACTTACTGTGCTATTTTTTTAAACCTATTTTAAAGTTTTAAACACAATGTTGACTTTTAGGTAATTTACTAAAATTATATTGTTTTCCTAAGACAGCTTAACTTTCCTTTTATGTATAATACTTTAGGAAAATACTATGTTGTAAAATGTTTTTTTTTTTTGGTACCAGAAAAAATTTGCTGTTTTGGAGTGCCCCCCCACCCCGCAAAATAGAGTGTTCTGAGTTAACAACTACAATATGAGCTAAAACAAAAACGTTTGCAAAATGTGAAATGTTTGTACAAGTGTCTACTGTGTGCTAGGAAATAAGCAACTCACACCCATTATCCCACTTACATGTCACAAAACTTTATGAAGTAGAGGTATTTTTATTCACAACGTGCTTATGGTCACCACTCACGATGACTCATAGAACTGGATTTTTTTGCTGACTACATTAGGTTTATAGCGAATAAAACTTATATCTCCTCACAAATAGCTTCATTTCATGCAAAATACAGGCTTTGTATTCATTTTGCACATGCCATTTAAGACAGCCCTAACTGCAGGTTGGGCAATGAGAGAGGCTGCTGCCTCACTGGGCTTTGAGAGTCACTTGGTCACCAAGGCTTGAGGTCCAAGTTTCAGTATGGCAAATCCAGGAGTTGACTTTTTATTTGGCACACCAGAAACATAGCTTCTAGAGTTGTCTTTTGTCAATTATCCTCCCTAAGGACTGCTAAATAAATTCATTATCAGTAATAACAGCACCGTTAATAGTAATTATAGCTGGGTGCCTGTGGCTCATTGCCTGTAATCCTAGCTGTTTGGGAAACTGAGATTGGGAGGATTGTGGTTTGAGACCAGCCCGGGCAAATAGTTCTTGAGACCCCTCCCCCCACCAAAAAAAAAAAATCAGAGCAAAACAGACTGGAGGCATGGCTCAAGCATGCTGCTTTGCAGGTGCAAAGCCCTGAGTTCAAACTCCGGTCCCACCAAAAAAAAAAATTTTTTTGGCTCACTGGCTACCTTACTGCTTTCTCTGCATAATCTTTACAGCAACCCTGTGGAAAGGTTTCAGCATTCCATGTCACAAATCAGGAAGAGAGCTCAGGAAGTACACAGGAAGACACAGAGATAACTTGTCTTTCAAAGAGACTCCTGCAGACAGTGAGGCCCATTCACTACATATGCACCCCACTAATGTAACTCTCCTCGATTGTGCTGCTGCAATATGGAATGCAGCTTTTATGGTAGCCTCGTACAAATGCTGACTGCACGATTTTATTCTGTAATAAACTTGTTAGCCTCTTGTCCTCATTACAGTTAAGATCATTGGGAACCGGTAATGGCTTTAACCCTGGCGTCCCACCCGGTTTAGCACTCGCGAAGGGGTGGGACAGGATTTCAAGACTGGGTCTTGTGCACCAGGGTCTGAGGAGGAGCAGTTGGCAGGCAGATGGGGTTTTTCAGGAACCAGGTGGATGTAGGAACTTGATGAAATACAAGTAAGAAGCAAGGCAAAGTAAATATGCCAAGATTCTGAAGAGGTTTTCCTGATGGCTTATTTGAATTCTCTAGTTTTCTAAAATGAGTCTATGTTACTTTTGTAGACAGAAATAGCCCAGAAGGGTGTTTGAAGATGCTAAGTCCTAGGACGGGGAGTATAGGTGGAACCTCATTCTGTGGGGTCTGGGGATGGAAACGGAGGAGTTGAGGCATGGTCACACCACTGTGCACCTACTGGAAGACTTAAGTGGACATTGCTGAGAAGCATGTATCCCACGAGGAGTGAGCCTGTCCCAGGTACTGAGCGTGGCTGGATGCCATGAGCCGGGGGCCTTCTGCGTTCTCACTTCCCAGCCTGAGACTCCCTGAGAATCTGGAGATGGGAGATCAGAAAGCTCGGGCTTTTGCGGGGACAGCCAAGCCTTTGTGAAACCAAGTCTTGTCACATCTAGGGTAAAACCCCAGATGGCTCCCAGGAGAGAGGTCTGGGTCTTTCCCATGATAAAACGTAGCACTGTGGGCTGTGAAGCACGGTGGAGTGTGAACAAAGCATTTCCCCAGATGGCAGAGAAGTTACCATCCTTGACAACTCTGCATGGTGGCACAGGGATGATTTTGTGACTTTATAGCTGAAGCAGCCAAGAGTTAAGCCAACTGTAAAGGTCACACAGCAGGGAAGTAGCAGAGCCAGGGCTCAAACCCTGATTCCTAGTCTAGTCTGTCCCTGCTTCCCCTCGCCTGTCCCTCCAGCCCAAGCTGATGCCATCGCTACACCAGGGCCATCCAGATGGTGTCCAGCCCTGGCTGCAGGTGGGACATCGGGGCACCCACAAGTCAGCTCTTGAGTGATGTCAGGTTGCTCTGGCTTCGTGCCAGCCTGGCTTAGCCTGGTCCTGAGACCTGGCCTCTGCCTGATGCTTAGGTGTGGCCTCCTTGTCTTGGGAATTGGGCTCTGATCTTAGCACGTGGGATAGCTGCTCCCGTGTGCCCCTCCTGCCTCACAGAGCACTCGACATCAGCTGCCTCTTCAGTGACTGTCCTTGTGTCACATACATCAGTCACCTTCGGGGCCTGGCTGCTCCAGGAACTGGGTCTGCTCGCCCTGCTGTGAGCACTTGCTGTCTGCTGGGACCAGCCCTGTGCAGTAAACAAAGGGCTGGTTTTCTTCCCTCAGCTGCAGTCTGCCTCTGTGAACTAATGCCAAAGTCATCCACTCATCTGCGGAAGGTTCTGGAAAAGCCATCCCAGTCTGCTTGATCAGTTTTGTCGCCGTGACAAATACCTGAAAGAAACAGCTTAAAGGAGGAAAGATTTATTCTGGCTCATGGTTTCCAACCACAGCTGTCTGGCAACATTGCTGTCAGGCTGTAGTGAGCAGGAAGGGTGTGGTGGGGAAATCGCTGCTCATTTCATGCAGTCAGGAAGCAGTGAGTGACGGGAAGGATTTGAGGACAAGATAAATCTTTCCAGGTCTCACCCCAGGTCCGACTAGCCCAACTAGTCCCTACCTCCTCCTGTCCACCACCTCCCAACAATGCCTTCGTACTATGAATCTGTGAAGGGATTAATCCAGGGATGAGATTGGAGTGCCCTGGGTCCAATCACTTCCCCAAAGCCTCACCTCTGAACATTGCTGCGTCAGGAACCAGGCCTTCAATACACATCCAGACCACGACATGGTCTATCAGCAAGGCTGTTCTAGAAGGACCCACTGCTCAGGAGCCCCGGGGGAGACCCAGGGGCCATGTGTCTGGAGCCCGGCTTCAGTGAGGCCTGGGTGTGATTTGCACCCTGATTTTCCTGGGAATGTAGCATAATGAGCTGACTGTAGCATGATTTAGAGGCCACACAGATGGTGAGGACACCAGGGATTTGGGTTTTTCAAGGAACTGAGGGCCCTAGGTAAAGGTGCAGCCAACACTAAGAGGTCCACTGAGATCACCGGGTCCAAGCATAACTTCCTGGGTAGAGGTAGGGGACAGGACGCAGACGACACAGCCTTGTACCTAGAGCTGGACTCAGGCAAGAACTGTGGGAGAAGTAGTATATGAACCCTCTCCCGGTCCTGCCTGTCCTGAAGCTGTAGAATTCACACACGTGCAAAACGGCACTAAGTGTACCTACCTCTAACTACCCCTTGCTCCTGCAGTCTTTCCTAAGGTTCTACCTAACAGAAATGCATACACATGTTCACCAAAAGTCAGGAACAAGAATAGTGACAGGCCAGCACTGGAAGTGACAGTAACACTAGAATGGACACTCATACACAGCCAACTGCTTGGGCTGGGATGTAGCTCGGTGGTACAGCGCTTGCCTAGCATGCGTGAGGCCCTGGGTTCGATCCCAGCACCAAAAAAAGAAAAGACAAAAAAAAAAAAAAAAAAACTCTCCACAGCCAACTG